TGTATGTAATAGGCATATGATTGTATCTATATACCTAACTTAAATACCTGTATATCTATACTTATATGTTCCTACAGTGGGAAGCCCCGCCAGCCGAGGCGGGCGCGCGCTAGCGTTTACAATTAGTATTAATATTGCTAGTATTTTTAATATTTTCAGGAATTCAGCTTATCAGTATTATTACTAATTATTGGTAGAGGCTTCGTGCTGTTTTGGAGTTTGGGCCTCGATTTTTGGATGATAGGGTTTTTAGCAAAGTGCCAGACAGCACGCGTCAAAAAACACCAGGGCTGTTTCCAGTGCATATCTTAGGTAATCTTGCCATTGGATGCTTACAAATAAGGTCTACAGCAGCCACGAGCTGAGAGAGTTAGACTGAAAAGGTTGCGAGTTCGAAGGTTGCACCATCTAAGGGGTTGAAGGTTGAAGGCTTTCTGGTGTAAACCTAAAGCACAAGCGGCCTCGACCCTGAACAGCCCAAGTCCCAAATCCAACTTCTGGAACGCCCTTTCCCAAACTAACATTGAACCCCGACAAAAAAGGGCCCTATAAAGACTACAGCTCTCTTGAAGGGTTCCATGTTGTTTTGGGGAGAGTAAAACCATCTATGCCCTCAACTGCTGAAATCCTCAGTGCGGCCAGGAAGCTTCACGGCCCAGCAGCTCGGATCATCATAGTTCCACTCCTGGGGCAACCAGTCTGACCGCAGTTTTTTGGAGAGTGGAGGCAGGACACAAGCACACTTATGTAAAGAATGTACACCAAAAAGGAAAGAACCAATCCCTTATAGGACGCACTTAGGGTATAGTCTCCCTTAAGTAGATATAATATGGGGTACATGGGGATCTTCTTCTAATATACCCAAAGCTGTACTCTATCTACTTCAGGGGACTATAAACCAAAACGGAAAGAACCAATCTCTTATAGGATGCACTTGGGGCATTTTTTTTGCCTAAGCAAATCCTCAGGCTTTGGACCTGTCCGCCATTGTGCCCAGATTGCAAGCTCGACAAATTGTTTTGGGATTTAATATCACCTTGAACTCTGATCGCAAACTTAACAACTCAATCAATCAGAGTTTCTGTTTGGGGTCTAGGGACCATGCATTTGTAAGCTCAGCTTCCATGTCATTCTCCATTTGATTCTCCATTAACTCTTGGTCATACCCCCTAAGCCCGAAGAATCTGCTATATTACCTGCCTAAGCCCCCGACAACATCGGCACTGCAGGTGCTGTGCTTGTCCACCGCCATCATCGGCACGCTCTGCTTGAACACAGTGGCCTGGCGTATCGAAAACCATTCAACATCCTAGGGGCTTCGGGATTTGGATAACGGTGGAAACTACTATTTAGGGTTTAGGGTTTAGGGTTGTGGAACATGTGTAGATATCTCACGGAGGTGCCAAGTTCTCAACAATTGGGTCTTGGGGTACTGGCACCTATAATCTTAGGATGGGCCTTAGGGGGACTGTACAATTAGTGCCCTTAGGAAAAACTCATAAAACCGTGGATCTGAAGATTACACAGAGATTGGGCGGGCAACTGGCCGTTTGGGGGTTCCCGCGGCCGGAAGCATGGCTCATTATATGGCCTCCATATGATCCCTCAGGAGGCACCCCCAGAAGCCCCTCATCATCCCAACCCATCCCGAGGTCCCTAACAAATCCCAATGTTGAGAAACGCCTAATTGAACCAGAAAGCCCGAATCGCCCGGGCTTCCGTTCTTATCAGCCATGCTGACAATGCCCACTTCCGAGGCGGCTGGCCCGACCCACGCACAGCCCGACCTAACCCCACCAGAGTCAACAAAACTTGCTGGTTGTGAGCAGGGAATAAGGGAAAATACTCCCTATATAATATATTCCCATATTCCCAACTAAGCCCCAGTAAGAAAAGGAGGGTGAGAAAACGTGAGCCTACTAGTCTGGCGAACCCAGCCACTGAACACCTCGTCATTGAGGCACCACATCTACAAAGGAGACCGACACATGAAACCGTTACCCTACAAACCGAAGCATGAATCGCAGGGCTATATCTTGAAGTTGCCCAAGACTATTTACGGAAAGGTTCTCTATCAGGGCACAAAGAAATCAATGACTATCCCGACTTGCCACCCTAGTATATCAAACTGCCTTATAGGTGGCATCGTCCATCTCCACGTGGAACACGCGCGTGGAGTCCATGCCTGAAACCTGTCCGGGTCGTTGCAGTAATTGGAGCTTTTGTTTTAGGATTCAGGGTTCAGGGATGTAAGCCTAAGATATTTGTAGGTATAACCCAAAGATTAGCCCCTGAGTCTCGGAATGCAGTTACAGCTGCGCTATAGGTGTCACTTGCTTTTGGTTCATAAGTAGCCTGAATGAAGATCACTCCCTATGACGTCGCGGGGAATACAGGCCTCGAAAGGAATTAATGCCACTAGTAGCTTGCGCCAGCTCCTAAATCTTCAGCCCCACTCCCTAACATTCTCCCCCATTATCTGGGAAACATCGAATAACAAAACAAGGCCCGAGTTTGTTTCCTATCTAAGCGATGCTTCCTGTAGTGTTCCTTCCCTTAACACTACTAGAGCCCAGAGTTGGAATCGAAGTTATACCGGGGATTACCGGGGACTGTGACTGTACTGTAAGATCCCTAAACCCTATTCACCTTTAGGATTTTGGGCTCCACAGCTGCAGGTCGCGCTTTACTTGAAGTATATTGGAACAAGGTAGAGCATATGGCTGGGGACAGGGCCTTGGTAAGCGGATGGTCATATAGAGCAATGCGTAGGGGGCGTAGGAGCGATAGTTTTGAAAGTTACCGCCATTTTTTGCTGAAAGGATTACACATGAAATTTCATGCCCAAAAAACTACCATCTGATGGTACTTCTCACCGCTTGCAACCTCCCTCAAAATTCTCTAGGACTCCTTTATGAGGACTATGCAAAAGGGAGAGTATCCTCAGATATACACACCTATCGCCAGTACGTCATTGCACTCAACGATCCTGAAACTATACAGGCAACATAAACCCACGCCACGCGAGCCCTAGACGCCGCAAAGCCCTGCCAACAGCTGGGGCGTGGCCTTCATGTCGAGGTAGTTCAGCTGAGACATGCTAGCTTGCAGCGGCGTCCTTTGCTCGCTTCGAAGATGTGCCAACAACACTAAAGAGATACCTCACAGATCTGCGCTTCTGCATGTTGCTGAACCAATCTCTTCAGAAAGCTTGTGCTCCTCAAATTTCAACTCCAAGTTGTAAACCCTAGATACTAAGCCTTTCAGCCTTCCTTCCTTTTCCCTCAAATCGAGTCTATCAGAGCCAAGGCACTCCAGCATAAGCCATCGCACACCCCAATCAGGGCACCCTGGTGTCGCCATGCCACCTGACGTCATTCTCTCCGTCAAAATTTTAGGTGTCAGCAGTTCAGGGTTTAGGGTTCATTGTTGGAGGGATTGTACTCGGACCTGCAATGTGGGAGGGAGCACTGTACTAGACTACCTTGCTGCAGTAGGGATGAATCAACGCCGCTAGCCGCATTTCTTCAAGCTCCTTCATTAAGCAAAGGCTACGGGCCCCCAGTATATGAATACTGAAAGAACCTTCCGTACGCATCACATGTCTTGCGCAAAGCGAAGTCCAACGCACACCGGCTCGTTCCGAAGATTCTCTTCTTGCAAGAGGTCAGAATCTTGCTTTCGTAGCTATCCTCACCCCGTTAGCTCGCATAGTAGTCTCCAAGTCGTACTCACGCAATGGGCGAAAAAGAAACAATGCGGCATGATCAGGTGATGCTGATAGTCCATGAGTTCGTTTATCCTGGTACGTGAAGGAGACTGGATCCTAGAATCTATTTACTATATATTGGGGGAATATAGGGATAATGGAAAATCAAATGGAAGCTACTAACATGGGCGGACCGCGGGCAAGACTTAGGCTGCAAACTTCTTCACACATGTACGGATGATCAGGTTTTAGAGTCTGTTAGAGCTTCAGGCTTACGACAGGTCTTGGAGCTTGACATGGACTCGGGGTTGAGGGGTTTGGGCCATGGAAGTTGTGCAATTTGTTGCCTTCAGGCTTTGACTTGAGCAAGCGACAGGCTACTGACCTGAAAGCTTCTCAAATATCAACCTCAAGAAGCTGGAGTCATGAGAGGGCTACCGTCTATGTTCTCAAGAGCAAGGTATGGCATACGCTATACATGTTCAGTGGCGACGACCCATCCCTCCCAATGCCAAGCTCCTCAAGCTTCACCATCAACGAGGCTCATCACCCTACATAGTCTAAACCACCACGAGAAACATCCAACCCACCTAGCATGCCCCAGCTGATAGCTGGATCCAACTGGCTTAGGAGTTAGGGCCTAACGACCCCCGGTCAGCTTGGCCTTTTTTGAAGGGGAAGCATTGGCTGACTCGAGGCTCTAAACCAAGAGCCTGGAAGATTACAGAATCTCTCCTAGCAATCTTTACGGAGCATAGGATACTTTTTGAAGCACGCTACTGCGGGCGGTGCCGGCATATGTGACAAACCACTTGCTGTGACTTGCACATCTGTAGCATCCATCTCAAGATCATATGCTGCACCCTGAAACCGTTGCCTAATTAATTACTGGGGCTCCTGCAATGTACCACAATAATGTATTTACAGTCTAGGGCTACTTCAACTCTGAGCCCTGAAATCTAACCTAGGAAGTTCGAAGCCTAAACTTCCCTGTCCACACGCAAGGTCAGCAAGCTGCCTCCACTTCACAAGTCAAAAGACCATATTTTTTGGTGTAGCTGTTGCACATAAGGTTTTCCTGCTTCTGTAAACCACAACAGAAGATAATGACCTTACTGATCTTGCTCTATACTGGGGCATACAGTACCCGTACACTCTGCGAAGCTAAATCTCACAAGGCGATAAGTCACCCCAAGCCCTGCCTAAGCTCCGGAAACCCCGAACTGCCTTAACTCCTTAAACCCCTAAACCCTAAACCCTAAACCAACCCTAAACTCCCTACCAATAAGCCCTAATCCTAATCTCCATAAACTCTGAACTCCCTAAACTCCTTCAACCCTAAACTCCCCAAGCCCGAACTAGGCTCCCCAGTAACCCGTTAGTAATAAGGGTACCCTTTTTCCCACTGTTCAGCTTTAACAAGGGGACGCCCAAATAAAAACGGCAGAAGGGTACTACTGGGGTACCTAGCCAAAGTTCAACCGAGGCCTCGGTACCACATCCATGGACCGTCCAGCGCCTTTTCGTATCTTGGGGGTGGGGGGGGGGCGCTTGGTATCAGGGAGTTTTCCTTTGTACCCGTAGGGTCTGTACCCTTGGGGTTGGGTCCCTAAACCATGGAATATGGCGGCCCTTAATAAAGGTGTTTGGGACCCAAAACCTAGGGTTAGAAACATTTAGTGCACAAACTTCGAGTCTTTGATGGTAACCCTAAACCAGGATTAGGACTCCAAAGCGGTCATACAACCAAAATAGAGTCGTAAGGGTTTAGGGTTTGAGGTCGGGACTCTATAGGCCCAAGAGGTGTGTGTGGAGGGGTGTGCTTGGAGGTTCATGTCTCGTTTTACATCATAAGCAGGGTTGTTTATTAAGTAAAATGAATTCGGCTATCAGGAATTCATTATAACTATTCGACTTCTAGCCCCACTTAAAAACCACGCATGAACATTACGTGAAAGGCCTTAAGCCGTTGAGTTTCGAGATTGGGCTACAGTTCAGATGCATTGAAGGGTCTCATATTCCCCAAGCCGTCCGGCAACCGATCTTGCCTTTGCCTTGAGATCTGCAATGTTTTGTGCAAAATCCTCGGGGCGAATCTCCAAACATCTGACGGCTTGTGCAGGCTTAAAGAGAGCTGGGCATGATTCCATTGTTCCAGCCAGAGAAAGGACGAAACGGGGTGCAGGGTTTGGGGTTTCCCCTATAGACCCTAGACCTTAATTCAGGGGTTTAGGGGTTAGGCTTGAGGTGTAAGATCGAGAGAGACAGGAAGCCTAGAGATGATTCTTGGACTACCCTCGGTAGAAGCCGAAGGAGGCCCACTGAGTTCGATACTTCACAGACAGCCCGAAAGACTTGTCTTAAAACCCTAAAACTACAATCCCAAGATAGTAAGATGCTTAGCTAGTTGAGAATGGGCAAGGGGTTGCAGGACCAGTAAAGGAGTGTCATAAAGGATGTAAAGATATAAGGATATGATATTATGCCTATAGGGATGCATCCCTCCTAGCCAAGCATGAGTAGGGCGACTGAGCCTCCAATCTTAAAGCCTACAGCCTAAATCCTGAAGCCTGCGCACCTTCTGGATAAATAGTCATTTCCATTTCCTTCCCCATTCTCCCTCTACACTCCCTAACATAATCCAATACCCTAGACCCTGAACCCTAAACCCAGAAGCCCTAAGCCCTGACCTTCTGGATGTTTAGAAGATGGTTAGATGGGTTTCCATTTTCTTTTCCATTATTCCCTATATAATCCCTAATATTACCTGTATAGATAAGCCCCTAAACCCTAAACCCTTAACCCCTAAACCCCTAAACCCTAAACCCTAAACCCCTAAAGCCCTAAACCCTAAACCCCCTGACCTTCTGGATGTTTCGGCGCAAGTTCACCGTATTCTCGATGTTGTAGGGATGCATGGCGCTGATGGAGTCCCGGTACCTCGGCTTGGCAGTTCGGAGCTGCCACTTGTTTAGGGTGTAGGGTTTAGAGGTTTAGGGTTTTAGGGGTTTAGGGTCTAGGGGTTTAGGGTTTAGGGTTTTAGGGGTTTAGGGTTTAGGGTTTTAGGGGTTTAGAATTTAGGGTTTTAGGGGTTTAGGGTTTAGGGTTTGGGGGTTTAAGCCCAGGGTCTTGAGTTCAGGGTTTAGGGCCTAGAGGGTTCAGGAACAGACTAGGCTCAGGGTCTAGCACTTGGCGAAGTCGGCCCTTAATACTATGTCAGCAGCATGATTACTCATGTACGTATCAGTACTGATCATACTAGCATTGAAGTTTTGAGTTCGGTGAGTATAATTTAGGCTTAGGGCTTTGAAAGACGGTAGGCGCTGCGAAAAGGTCCTGCAAGATTTGCCTCGGGATATTGTGCTCAGTAGAAATGCAAGGTGTCGGGTTTAGGGTTTAGGGTGTATAAATAAGCACATGGATAGACGCAACTTCCATAGCTGGCTCGTTGTTTTGCCTAGTCCCATGCTGGAGTTTAGACTCCAAGCAGTGGGACATCAAAAGATTCTTTCAAGCTCCAGACAACCCTTTTCCTGGCACTTGAGTAGCGTTTTTTTGGTGGTTGAACCTTGTAAGATTATATTCCGTTATATTCCTTATATAGAATACTATACCCAAAAGGAGGATATAATCTTACTCTATAATGGGTACCATAGTATCCCCAAATTAAATACTACTCCCTTGGGGTTCTGAGGCAAGGGAATCTCGGAAAATAGCAGCTGCCCTTCGGCACCCTCAATATATAGTCCCCCTTTAAGTAGACAGAATATGGGTGTATGGGGATCCTATTATAATATACCCAAAGCCATAGTAGCGCGTCCCTCCGAGAGTCCTAGCTTCTTTAGAGCTTTTACCCGAAAACCGCAAACCTTGCGACGCTAAACCCTAAACCCTGCCCAAAGATCGAGAAGAGCTATTCCAAGACTCTACCCGAGCTTGTTGTGTAGAACAGAAATGGACACTCCCCACCGACCCGATGAAGTACGAGCTCTTGGATCCTAGGCTCATGCCGCAGTAGCACCAAAGACGCCCCTCATCTACTATTTATCAGATGATTTCTATCTTGTGATGACCCTTCCCGCAGCCAGTGCAAAGCTAGCCCAAATCTCACCCCTCAGCCGTCTTCAGTCTTCCCGGATTTAGGGTTTAGGGTCCCATATCTTCGCCCTAAGCCGAAAACCTCAGCAGGTGCATCCCCACACTGAGATAAGGTACGCCTCGAAAGGCAAGCCCAACTCTCGGAGCAATGCGTTCTCCTTAGCATCTGGAGATTTCTTGAAATCTAACTATGGTAGAAAATTGTGGTTACTTTCTGAATCCCTTTTATCATACGGTCCCACATTTGGATTGTAAAGGACCAAAGTTGTGACAGGAGTTCCCTTACCACCCCACCTCTATACTACCTCCCATGGTTCTCCTGCAATGACTAGTCGCTGCCGGCGATACATCTGAAGACCCTGAATGTGTATTATATATATATATACACGTACGTATATAGCGATATCGGGGCCTCCTCAGTTTTGCTTCATGGTTCGCTTTGCAAACCAGTTCTCTCACAAAGACCTGGGCCGTCAAAGTAGGCAACATGGTGGCCCAAAAGCCCACAAACAGAGCAAAACAAACCTAAACCAAATACTGTAAACCCCAAACCCCAACAAAATTTGGAGGGCCCCTTAATTCAAAATGACTCGCAAGAAGGAACGGAAAAGAAGATGGGAACTACAAAATGTAAGCAGATAATATATGGGCTGCTCTAGGCAGGGGGGACAAGCCTTTGTAGGATAACCAAAGATAAGCTCCGAGTAGGTTCAGAGATGTTCAGAGGAAGCCACACCCAGCCCTGTACCTGGCACCTTTCCGCTGCTTCATGAAGATTGGCCGGGGCTCAGTGCCAATCTCCACTGGGGCGCTGATGATCACACGATGGAAGCCCTAACAAACAGTGCCGGTCTGGGGGGGCTAGGGAGGGCTGCCGAACTAAACATGAACATGGAACTGTTAGGGACTAAAAGTTATTGACTGGTCGTGCCTTAAGCTTTTCCCTGCTTGGCATGAAGCCGCTCGTGGACTAAGCCCCATATTAACATCCAAGAATTAGCCTACGGTGCTTTTTTTACTTCTAAGACTCTCAGCAAGACCCCTGATTCTATGACACACTCCAACATGAATCCCTCTTTAGCTGGACTTCGTGATGACCGACACTGAAATCCCTCCCTAAACCCTAAACCCTCAGCCCGCCCAACCCAACATTCCTTCTGGCTCAAAATTCAGAATCTGTGAGAGTCTGCCACACAAGAAGAGCGCACTCTAATGAGCCCATGACCGTCAGTAGCCCTGTATACCATGAATACTATCATTGCGATTATTACTATGCATATTACTGCTATCCATAACGATTCTTGTTATTTCTCCTACTACTGTATCACTCGTTCAGACTTGATGAGGGTAGTAGCAAACGAGCCTATCCTCATGATTCCTTTTAAGGTAGGATGTTTATGATTTAGGGTTCCGGGTTTAGAGAAGGATTCAGCGGCAGGTTCTGCATGGCTTCCATAGCAACTCCGATGTGTTCAAACTGCCTCGACTGCACCCTGCAGACGCCGATGTCCCTGGCAGGCGGGGCGGTCATTCAAGAACTGGCATCATCATGCAGAGGGCCCCAGTACACAATATTTGTGTGTGCTTGGGATTTTTTAGTCATAGCTATGTAACCCCTGTATGCATTTTCAGGGTGCATACATACACGATGCGTAATGGTTGTGTAGAGACCACTGAGGGTCAAGGCTATCAACATGCACATCTCACCGTCCAGGGCGTATCTTCTTCACGTACTTGTTGCCATGATCATCTACTTCATTCGGCCCTTCATGCCGTAAAATCCAAAACTCTAAACTCTGTAAACCCTAGACTCCAAGTCAACGCATGGTAGTTCCCATCTTGTTTTCCATCCTTTTTTAATAGGTGACTATTTTGGAGGTACTTGCAAGCCGGGGCCTCACCTGCAACCGGCTTAGGGTTGATTGTTTAAGGCTCAGGGATTCCTACTGGCGGCTACTCATCTCATGAAAGCTTCCCACAAAACTGTAGGTAACTTGGGGGGGGGGGCATTGCAGGCATCCCCTCATCACTAAACCCTAAACCCTAAACCCTCCCTAAACCCCTACCCCCTATCTCTCCCTTTTGACCGGGGAGTTTCTGACATGCCTTTCAACCTGCAGCCCCAAACCCTGAACCCAAAAATCCTAAACCCTACAACCCTACAGGGCGTTGGTTCCCCAATAACCCCTTCATCACAAGGGTACCGTTTTTTTCCTAATATTCAGCTTTAATAAGGAGACCCCCAAATGAAAAAGGAAAAAAGGGTATTACTGGGGTACCTAGGTGCAAACTTAACACCTAAACCTCAGACCCTATACGCCCCTCAAACCCTAAAAACCCTGAACCCTGAAAACTCTCTGACCCCAAACCTTAAAGCCCTCAACCCTCTCTCTCTCTCACGCGGGCTCAGCAGTCTGAAGCCCTAAAACCCACTGAAACCCTGACACCCCAAACTGGGTTGGCCCCTGAAACCCTTTAAAAGATACAAATATATACAGGGTCCCCTATGAAAGCAATTAGGGGAAATATCAAATATCCCAGGGGCCTACCCCCCTGACACCTTAAATTGGGTTGGCCCCTGAAACCCTTTGGAAAATACCAATACTTAGGGTCCCCTATGAAAGCAATTAGGGAAACTATTAAATATCCCCAGGGGCCTACCCAGCTAAACCTTAATTTGCAAATCCAGTTGCGGAGCCATGGCTGTCGCCATGGCTGTCGCCATGGCCATCGGAGCCGTGGCTGTTGTCATGGTGATCGGTTCCTAAGTCCCCGGAAGCAAATTAGGGTCCCAGTTAGGTTAAGGGGGGAGGTCGTATTTGGATAGTATAGGGTGATATAGGGAAAAGAAAATGGAAACTACTATATAATATATTGGGTTGTAAGGCTTTGTTTTGGGGTTTAGAGTTTACGTACTGTGGCAGCCATCCGTACCTTCTTCTGTATTTCCTAGGCTTGGCCGTTGTTGTATTCCGTACCTTCTTCCGTAGAACCTGAATCTCGCAGAGTATGCAGAGTAATGGACGTCTTAACTATCCTTACGAGCTTTGGTCATTGTTCCATTTACTTTTGAGGTCCAGGTACAAGTGATCGGAGGGCAAGAAGTACAAGCCCTGACACCTGCCACTATAACGTCTCCCTAAGTTTTGCCATTTCGAGCTCCTTACATCGAAAGTCACACCATCTGAGCATTGTTTTTCGAATCTACGGAGGTTTCCCCGGATTTGTGACACATGCCCAGAGACAGAAGGTCCCTGAAGCTACGCATGTAAGAAACCTTCACGCCTTCACAGCCGGACCGTCGTCATGTTCCTATACCCAGACCCCCTAAAGGATCCAACAAATGGAACACCCCTAATACTCCCAGTTTCCCCAGTGTACTAATGGGTTCATATTGGAGGGGTTCCCATTTTTTGGATCCTTTAGGGGGTCTGGGTACCTGACTCTTTCCCTGCTGCCCAATCTTCTTCTGAGCCTTTTTTGGGCTTCTGGCTTCTTGCCAGCCTTTTCTGGGCCTCGGTTCTCAGGTTGGAATTGCCCTGGCCCTCCACCTCCTTGTCCTCCTTGTCCAAACCATTGCCACTTGCACAAGCACCGACATACCGGCGTGAGGGTCAAGGCTTTTTCCTCATCAGCTTGGGGCCACGAATGCCGCTGAGACCCTCAAAGTCAAGGTCTCTCAAACCCAGAGTTGATGACTAGTTGAGCAATGTGGAGGAGTCCTAACTTCAAGCTCCCACCTTAGTAGCCTAGACTCTGAGCCTCTTGCCTGAAGTCCCTTCCATCAACCCAAATCCGCCAGAGCAGATTCAACCGCGGCACCGTGGCTACTGTCTCCATGATCTTCGGAGGCGTGACCTCCTCCATGGTCGCTCGCCTGGGAAGAGGATCCGTTCATTCTTTGAACCATAGTTGAACACTGATTTTGAGGGGCATGATCCTAAGTCTTCAAGAAACAAAGACATGGCCACCCGCCCAACAACATGCATGGAACCTTAAATGATAGGCCGCACTTTTTTTTGCCTGCAGTGTTTGAAGGCTCCCCTCCTTTCCGAAGCTTGACTACAGAAATCGGACACGGTTCCCAGGTTCCGCCATACAAGTCTAATTACCTCAAGCGGGCGGTTTATCAAATCTTCGGCCTTTTGGAAGCCTTGGGATATGATGTGGAGACTTCAAAGGGAATACCGGCGTCTTTATCAGCAAGTTGGATGGAATATCTTGATCATGAGGAAGTCCCAAATGAGTTTTTTTTAGCTTGCTATTATCAAGCTTCCCGTAGACTACTACATGGGCCTGAAGAAGTGCAACTATCTTGTTAACAGGCCTCTCAAAACGCCCTATATCATGAATATATTTCTATGAAGGTTGTTCAGTATTCCTCATCTCGGAAATTGCCCCCTGGAGTGCGCTTGCGCGCACCGTGCACGCACAGGGCGTTATCTGAAACTGCTTTCGTGAGACCAGTACTTATAAGCTTATAGCGCCTATACTAGACATGGGCCAAAGCTTTAGCCCAAGGGCGCCCCCGCTGTGGCCGCTGTCGGAATGACCAGAGCTGTGGTCCTCATTCTCAGAATGTGCCAAAATGAGCGTTCCTATCTTTTAGCTCCTGTACTCAGAATTCTTTCCCCCACAATGCCTATAGAATCCCTATATAACCCCTAAACTCCCTGCAGTTTCCGTCTTATTTTCCGTTATCCCAATATAACCCCAATATTATCCCAATGGGTATCAGAAATGGAGTAGGTCTTGGCTTCGGGTTTCGGCGGAGAGGGTGGGGGAGAAAACAAAGCTTACTTAGAACAAGGTGAAGACAGGGCTTAGGGTTCAGGGCACGTTAGGCCTTTTGAAGATTTCGCCTTCGTCAGCACTGTGATCTGGTGCAGCTACTACGCAGACAGAGGAAAATTCTGAATAGACAATGTAAAAACTCGTGAGAATGAAGGCATCAAGAAGAGTGCTTACCAGTAGCTCTAGGAGGGTTTGTCAAAGTAGTTTTCCTGGGAGTCCTCCAGAAGGATGGCGATAATCCTCTTACAGACCCACACATGCCTGGGGCCCCTAGGGCATCAGGTCTTGCATGCTCTCTCAAACCCATTTGCTCGGCGGGTTGTCACGAGAAGCTTGCATGCATAAAATCGGAACTCTGCTTAAGCCAAGGATCCAAAACACACATGTCTTGTGGGCCCCTATGAAAGTGTGTTTCTGCCGGAGTTCACCCTGCGCTGATTCGAATGCTCTGTGACGCACCATGTGCATAGAGTCACATAGAGCCCTTGCTGAAAATACCTGAGAGGATTCTGCCTTCAACCTGCCCTGGGACCTATCACGTCAGTAGCTCTTTCTATACTCCTTTCCATTTACTTCGTCTTGGAAAACATTTCAAAACATGAAGGACATATACAACCATGCAGTAGGAATCTTGCTAATCGCAGACAAGCGAGGTAGCAGTTACAACTTAAGTACTGGATACCTACTGCGGGTGGAGGAAACTCGCCTAGAGCCCGAACCCTACACCCTGTTGAACTAGCGGCTATTCAGGTCAACAATTCCTTATGACCCAGTAAGACCTCATAAGCACATACATAATACCAGTTTGTGTTTAATGTTCCATCTTCTTTTCCGTTTCATTCTCCACTACAAGGGTTGTTGCTGACAAAATCCCTTGTTAGTACGCCTGTAAGCATTCCATTTCATGCTCCATTTCGTTCTCCATTATTGGAATTTCCTGTTCTCCCAGGTCCATGTTGCTTCGCCGTCAATGCCCTCCCCCCTAGGCCACGTTAAGTCATTGCAGTAAGATGGGAGTCTCGAAAAAATTGAAGGCCATTCGGGGACGGGATAATGGGTCACAAAGTTATGAGTATATACATATAGAAATATATGCCGGTACATACAGGTAGAGACTATTTTGACCAATACTCAAATCATTCAGGGGCTCGCTGGAACCATGGCTGCCGGAACTGTGGCCGACATCGACTTGGTGTTCTGGGATGTGGGGGCCACTGCTCGCTCCGTGGTGGACCTTGCACCGGTTTTGAGGGTTCATGGTCTTAGGGCTCGGCGTCAGGGCCATTACAGTATGGGGTTCGGGGATTAAGGTTTAGGGTTTGGGGTTCAGGGCTGGTTGTACTCATTTGTTCTAGGTTGCTTTGGCTTCTTTTTCGGGCTTGGGCACTACTGGGTGTAAGATTTAGTGTTCTAAGGCCTTGAGAAGCCAACCCATCGCGCGCGAAGATAGTCCGTCCTTCGTAGAATGGGTGCAAGGAACTCATATGAGCTACTGTCTAAACTCCTAGTATCCCCCTTAATAAGCTCTATAGTAGTCCCTTATAGTCCCCAATGTATTTTTAAGGAGTTTAGACTATAGTAGCTCATATTTTGATGGTGAGGTGGCAGTTATTGTGCCAAAGCACGGGTTTCGGATGATTCCTAGAAAAGCCTTTAAGGCAAAAGGTGGGAAGCGATGAGCCGTACGTTTTAATTGTGCTCCTAGGGTCCTCTAACAACTTTTTGGGCATTTGTCGGGATTTCGAGGAGAAGCTTAGGGTTCACACCTTTGGACAATCGAAGTAGAATTTGGATGGCCCAAGACCATCCTGGATAAAGAAAGTTGAATGAGGAACGCACTCAACTAAACCCTGAACCCTAAATCCTGAATTGGCATTTATGTGGTTGTCAAAATGATGGTCCCTTTTTGGGTACCCTAAATATTAGGTGCCGTATTATAATAGGGATCCAAAAAAGGGACCATAATTTTGAAAACCACCCATTTGGGTGTAAGGTACACTCTACCACCATCCAGCGGAACTTACAAGCCCTTTGAGGGTCATTCTCCAAAAAGCCACTGAATCGAGTAGGATGGATATCCGTAAGACCCATCTCCTTACTGGGGGTTAGTAGGGGGATATATTCTATCGGGATCGTATAGGGATTGCACTCCCAACCAGTAAGTGTAGCACAACTGAAACTGCGCGCAAAACGACGTTAGCACATTAAGAAGCACTGCTTGTATCTATACATGTAATTTCCTAAGAGCATTTTAGATATTACCTGGTTGTGTCTGAATTTTCCCCAGCCTAGGTGTAAACTCCTGCGTAATTTTGTTACTGTCATATACAATCCCAAAGGGTCCATGTAGGTATATGTATATACTTAGGGGCCAAAGGGGTTCCCATATACCTACTTTAAGGCCCAAGTATATCCCATATACCTACATAGACCCTTTGGGAATGTTTTGAAGCACTGACACCGACCCAAGTCCATAGCTGTGACACCTTGGTTTTGCCAACGGAGTAGTTTCTCAACTCCTCTGTGGGCGGTTCTCAAAGTCGGGATTCCGTTGTGACCGGCATATTTGGAACCCAATCATCTGAAGAACTATGACAAGCACCACAATCTCTATATAACTTTCCACCAGATCCAACAGGAATCCTGCAACACCCCTTACAACGAGTGTGTACACCTAGGAGCCATAGCGCTGCGATATCCGTTGATAGGTTGATTAGACTGCAACGGGCGGATGCGTCAAGCATCCCAACAAATCCTCGCCTAAACCCTAAATAGTCGTTTCCATTTTATTTTCCATTATCCCTATATAACCCCAATATGCTATAGTAGTTTCCATTTTATTTTCTATTATCCCTATATAACCCCAACAAATCCCACCCTAAACCTGAAACCGGCTTCTGAGCTTTAGCTTGGCAGCTCCCGAAAGTTCCGCAAGCTTACTGAAGCCGTCTCCATCCATGATTGCCTCCACCTGCAACAGGAAACTGGGGTTTACAGTCACCCCTCCCTCAAAGAAGCAGGGGTATTCCAAAAGGTCCGCTCGACTAATCGACGTGCTCCTCGCATGAATCGTGCAGTATAGCAGAATTCTGTAGTGGAATATAGGGATTTAGGGATTCAAGGCTTTGGGCCCCTGCTTATCCTTGGGTCGAACTTTTTGCTGCTTCGCCACGAACTGATTGGTTTCCAGTTAGTCACGTAATGTCACGTAGTTGCAAGAAAGCATGAAGAATCAGAATACCTCTTTTGGTCATCGCTTAATCCAATAAGAGGATGTGGGAACGTGACATCAATTGTGCTGGGGCGAGCGTGGTGTCGGCGCATGTTCAGAACAAATGGCTTCATCACAAGCGGCCACATCTTTGGGGTCGTATACCTGGCCCTTATGTCCAGACGCCCTGAACCCTCGATCCAGAAGCCTAAACGCCAGACCACACAGAGCTTCATAATTACTGTTGGCTTGCGCTTACAACCCAAAGGCCACCGAAAGACCACCATGATCTTGCCGAAATTTTCTGTAGCTCTCCAAGGCAACCCATAGTCTCCCTCAATGACCCCAGAACAAGCGGACTCCATTTAGGGGTTTCCCATAATTAGGGTACCTTTTGGGGGTCCCCATAATAAGGATTATAGCATATTGGGGTCTATATTGGGGTCCCCTTATTTAGGGAAACCCCCATTTGAATGTGGAAACTTTACCTGCTGGGGCTGCTCCAGGTAAGGGAACAGGAAACACTACACACTACTAAGGTGTTATACCAGGTTACCAACTAGACTCTTTTGGTATTGCCATCTCTTGGAAGTTTCCACACTTTTCGCAACACGGGCATTTCCAAACCTGGTTTTCCTTACATACCCCCCCCCCCACCACACACCCCCCAAACGCTCCATCCCCTAGTAACAAGACGTCGACAGAGGACCCCCAAGTTTTGGCAACCTCATCCCTATAAATCGCCGCGTAATCCCAGCTTTCATGTGATGCCTATTCTCCATTTGATTCACCTTTATTAGGGCCTCATCATCTGTTTTTATATTGTATATGCTGGGGCTCATGGCCGAGGACAACCTACAGCTTTCTACTGC